CTCTTGGAGTGTTCCCGTGGTCTCCTCCACCCCCTCCTTGCCCCCCAGCACCACGGGCACTTACTTGACATAGGCCAGGCCGTGGTTGCCCCTCAGAGCAGTGGCGATGCAGATGGCTCCATCCATGCCCAGGGAGTTCTCCTGCAGGCTGCGGGAGGAGGGAGGGTCAGGAAGCAGCTCCCGAGGAGACACGTGTGGTGGGCAGAGCCCCCCGGGGGAGCCGCTGGCCTGGCTGTCCCCAGGCCGTGCCCTCCGGGGAGGTTTGGAGGGGCCACCTCTGGCTCAGCCCGGGGAGCAGGGACTCACTTGAGCCAGCGCAGGCTGCGGTTCACCCTCAGGGCGTTGGCCATGGCCTGGGCACCCCCCGGCCCGATGGAGTTGCCCCGCAGGCTGTGGAGGAAGGCGGGGAAAGCCGTGAGGAGGAGGAGGAGGAGGAGGAGGAGGAGGAGCAGCCCGGGCCGCGAAGGGGTGGGAGCGGTGCCGAGGTGAGGACCGGGATTTCAGGCACCCCCGGGGGGGGTGGCACGGCCACGGGGACTCGGTGGCCCTGCTGGGCACTTACTCCAGGATCTGCAGGCTCTTGTTGACCACCAAGGCTTCTGCCAGGGCTCGGGCACCCGCCGTGCCAATCGAAGCTACCTGCAGGCTGCAAAAGAGCAAGCATGTGTCAGGAGGTGCCACGGTGGGCTAATTAGACCAGCTAATTAGTCAGGCTGCGAGGCCAGGACCCCTCCACAGCCCGGACACTCACTGGAGATCCACCAGGGTCGTGTTGACCTTCAGTGCAGCGGAGAGGGCAGCCACCCCCTCATCCCCAACGGCGTTCTCCTGCAAGCTAAGACATCCCAGTGCAGCCTCTGCCCCCGGGAGCGGGCAGCCAGCAGAGGACACTGCTGCTGGCCTTCCCCAGGGAGCCCCCCAGGCAGGGCCATGGGCAGGGGACACGGGGAGGACCAGGACAGGCAGGAGGTGAAGCAGCGTCCTTGGGCAGGAACCAGTAAGAAAGGGGTGCCCAGGACACTTCTGCCCGTGTCCTCACTTAC